TTTTTTCCCATATTTTCCATGGTTGTCCCCCATATTTTCCACGTTTTTTTCCCATATTTTCCATGTTTTTTCCCATATTTTCCATGTTTTTCCCACATTTTCCACATTTTTTTGTATTTTCCCTGTTTTTTCCCTTGTTTTCCATGTTTTTCCCCATATTTTCCATGTTTTTCCCCATATTTTCCCTGTTTTTTCCCTTGTTTTCCCTGTTTTTCCCCACATTTTCCACGTTTTTCCCACATTTTCCACGTTTTTTTGTATTTCCCGTTTTTTCCCTTGTTTTCCCTCAGTGCCGGAGGCGGCACAAGGAATAAATCCGTCCGTGGACAAACCCGGCCCTGCTTTATTGGCAGCTCCAATAAATAAACACAATTCTGGCGGGGAGGGGGCTGCGAAGGGGGACAGCGGGTGAGGGGGCGCAGGGCTGGGGGTCCCCCCAAATGGGGCTCCCCCCAAATGGGGCTCCCCCCAAATGGGGGTCCCCCCACCGTGCCCCTGTGGAGGCGTGGGGGGCTCAGCACACCCAAAGCTCAGCCTGGGGGTTCCCTGGGGGTCCCTCAGGCCTCGGGGGTCTCCAGGATTTGGGGGTCCCTCAGTTCTTGGGGGTCCCCAGGCCTTGGGGGTCCCTCAGGCTTTGGGGGTCCCTCACACCTCGGGGGTCCCCAGGATTTGGGGGTCACTCAGGACTCAGAGGTCTCCAGGATTTGGGGGTCCCTCAGTTCTTGGGGGTCTCTCAGGCCTCGGAGGCCTCGGGGGTCCCTCAGGCCTCGGGGGTCTCCAGGATTTGGGGGTCCCTCAGGCCTCGGGGGTCTCCAGGATTTGGGGGTCCCTCAGTTCTTGGGGGTCCCCAGGCCTTGGGAGTCCCTCAGGCCTCGGGGGTCTCCAGGATTTGGGGGTCCCTCAGGCTTTGGGGGTCCCTCAGGCCTCGGGGGTCCCCAGGCCTTGGGGGTCTCTCAGACTTTGGGGGTCTCCAGGATTTGGGGGTCTCCAGGCCTTGGGGGTCCCTCAGGCCTCAGGGGTCCCTCAGTTCTTGGGGGTCTCTAGGCTTTGGGGGTCCATCATTCCTCGGGGGTCCCTCAGTTCTTGGGGGTCCCTCAGGACTCAGAGGTCCCTAGGCCTCAGGGGTCCCTCAAGTCTTGGGGGTCCCTCAGGTCTTGGGGGTCCCCAGGCTTTGGGGGTCCATCATTCCTTGGGGGTCCCTCAGTTCTTGGGGGTCCCTCAGACCTTGGGGGTCCCTCAGGCTTTGGGGGTCCCTCAGGACTCAGAGGTCCCCAGGCCTCAGGGGTCCCTCAAGTCTTGGGGGTCCCTCAGGTCTTGGGGGTCCCCAGGCTTTGGGGGTCCCTCAGGCCTCGGGGGTCCCGCAGTTCTTGGGGATCTCTCAGACCTTGGGGGTCCCCAGGCTTTGAGGGTCCCTCAAGTCTTGGGGGTCCCTCACGCCTCGGGGGTCCCCCACGCCTTGGGGGTCCCCCAGTTCTTGGGGGTCCCTCACGCCTCGGGGGTCCCCCAGTTCTTGAGGGTCCCCAGGCTTTGGGGGTCCCTCACGCCTCGGGGGTCCCCCAGTTCTTGAGGGTCCCCAGGCTCTGGGGGTCCCTCACGCCTCGGGGGTCCCCCAGTTCTTGAGGGTCCCCAGGCTTTGGGGGTCCCTCACGCCTCGGGGGTCGCCGCTGGCCCCCCGAAAGCGTCGGCGCTCCGCGCGAACGTCTCGGCCACGAGCAGCGGGAACACGAGCGAGGCGTCGGCATAGACCTGAGCGAGAGCAGCGGGGTGACGGGAGGAGAAGGAAACCCCCCAAAATCCCCCCAAATCCCCCCAAAATCGCCCCCCACCTTGACGGGCGTGGCGTCCACGCGGATCTTGCCCCAGGACACGGCCTCGTCCGGCCGCGCGCCCGAGTCGGAGCCGTCGAACTCTTGCGCCGTGTTGACGTAGACGGAGAAATCGGCGCCGTTCCTCTGCGCACACCCGGGGTGAGACCCCCGGCCCCGCCTCGGGGGTCCCCAAAAACCCCCTCCCCGTCGTTGGGGGGTCCCCCACTCTCACCATGAGGTTGGCGTTGGCGATGTGGTGCTTGACCAGACCCCCGCCCAGGATGATCATGCCGGTTTTGCGGGCGAAGATGGCCTGGGTGTTGATGAGGCGCAGGTCTGCGGGTCGACGAGGTTTTGGTGTTGGGGGGGTTCAGGGAGCCCCTCAGGGCACCCCAAAATCCGGTGGGGCGCCCCACTTACCCTCCACGATGTCCAGCACGAGCCCCGGGCGTTTGTAGGAGTGGAAGAAGATCATGTCGCCCAGGGAGCCGTCGGTGAGCGCCGGGCTCAGCACCGGGATGTTGTTCTGCCAAAGAGGGGGGGACGCGGTGACAATCGGTGACACCCCCCCAGTGCCCCCCAAATGTCACCCCAAAAGTGTCCCCCCCACCCCCCGGTACCTTCTGGGCCCAGTAGCAGATGGAGTCGGGGTTGTTGATCTCCTTGCCCAGCCGGGCGATCATCCGGGACGGCGTCCACCGCACGCCCTGCGGGGACCCGGCTCAGCAGGGACCCCCAAAATCCCACCCTGAGTGTCCAGGGACCCCCAAAATCCTACCCCAGATATTCAAGAACCCCCAAAATCCCACCCCGGGTGTCCAGGGACCCCCAAAATCCCACCCCAGGTATCCAGGAAACCCCAAAATCCCACCCCGGGTGTCCAGGGAACCCCAAAATCCCACCCCAGGTGTCCAGGAAACCCCAAAATCCCACCCCAGATATTCAGGGACCCCCAAAACTCCACCCCAGGTGTCCAGGGAACCCCAAAATCCCACCCCAGGTGTCCAGGAAACCCCAAAATCCCACCCCAGATATTCAGGGACCCCCAAAATCCCACCCCGGGTGTCCAGGAAACACCAAAATCCCACCCCAGATATTCAGGGACCCCCAAAATCCCACCCCAGGTATTCAGGGAGCCCCAAAATCCCACCCCAGATATTCAGGGACCCCCAAAATCCAACCCCAGGTGTCCAGGGACCCCCTAAAATCCCACGCTAAGTGTCTGGGGACCCCCAAAATCCCACCCCGGGTGTCCAGGGAACCCCAAAATCCCACCCCAGGTGTCCAGGGACCCCCTAAAATCCCACGCTAAGTGTCCAGGGATCCCCTAAACCCCACCCTAGGTGTCCAGGGACCCCCAAAATCCCCCCCCAGCTATCCAGGGACCCCCTAAAGCCCGTTCCCAGCACTGTGGGGTCCCGATTTGGGGGGTCCCCCACCCCTCACCTGCGTGTCCTGCTCGTCCACCATCGTCTCCAGGATGGGCATCAGCCAGTCCTCGAACTTGCAGTAGTTATCGTTGGGCACCAGCAGGTTCCCGATCCTGAGGGAGCCCGAGGCCACCCCGAGGTGACCCTGAGGCGTCCCCGGGGTGTCCCCAAGGGGGTCCCAGCCCCCCACGCCCACCCCCAGGACCTGTTGATGCCGTTGTGCCGCAGGTCCCGGCCCCGCAGCTGGAAGTCCCCGATGTAGGTGGGCGCCAGGCACTTGATCAGGTCCTCCTCCACCCCCCCGGCCGTGGTCACCAGCACGTCCACCTGGCCAGGGAGGGGGTCAGCACCTGGGGGACACCTGGGGACACCCACCTGACCCGCCCCAGGACCTCACAGAGACACCAGAGACACCCCCAGGACTTCACAGGGACACCAGGGACACCCCCCAGAACCTCACAGGGATGCCAGGGATCCCCCTAACCATCCCAGAACCTCACAGGGACCCCCCTGACCTCCCCTGGAACATCACAGGGACACCAGGGACATCCCTGGAACCTCACAGGGACACCCCTGACCATCCCAGAACCTCACAGGGACCCCCTGACCCCTCCTGGAACCTCACAGGGACCCCAGGGACTTCCCTGTCCCTTGTCCCTGTCCCCATGTCCCCACCCTGTCCCTGTCCCCACACTGTCCCCAGGCTGTCCCTGTCCCTGTCCCTGTCCCCAGGCTGTCCCCTGTCCCTGTCCCCAGGCTGTCACCATGCCGTGCTGCACCAGGTAGCGGATGCTCTCCCTGTCCCCATGTCCCCATGCTGTCCCCTGTCCCTGTCCCCATGCTGTCCCCTGTCCCCAGGCTGTCCCCAGGCTGTTCCCTGTCCCTGTCCCCAGGCTGTCACCACGCCGTGCTGCACCAGGTAGCGGATGCTCTCCCTGTCCCCATGTCCCCAGGCTGTCCCTGTCCCTGTCCCCAGGCTGTCCCCTGTCCCCATGTTGTCCCCTGTCCCCATGCTGTCCCCTGTCCCCAGGCTGTCCCCACACTGTCCCCAGGCTGTCACCATGCCGTGCTGCACCAGGTAGCGGATGCTCTCCCTGTCCCCATGTCCCCAGGCTGTCCCCTGTCCCCTGTCCCTGTCCCCATGTCCCCATGCTGTCCCCTGTCCCTGTCCCCATGCTGTCCCCTGTCCCCAGGCTGTCCCCAGGCTGTCACCATGCCGTGCTGCACCAGGTAGCGGATGCTCTCCCTGTCCCTGTCCCCATGTCCCCAGGCTGTCCCCGTCCCTGTCCCTGTCCCCAGGCTGTCCCCTGTCCCCATGCTCTCCCTGTCCCCTGTCCCCAGGCTGTCCCCAGGCTGTCCCCAGGCTGTCCCCAGGCTGTCACCATGCCGTGCTGCACCAGGTAGCGGATGCTCTCCCTGACGCCGGAGCTGACCAGGTTCGAGGTGAAGCCCAGGAAGATGGTGCAGCCCGAGGGCGGCCGCGGCCCGGCCATGGCCGCTCGCTCCCGCTGCTCCGCGCTCAGCGGCTCCAGCTTGGCCGCGATCTGCGGGAAGGAAGCCCCGGGAAGCTCGCGCCGAGCCCGGATCCCCGTCCCGGTACCACCGCGCCCCCATCTCCCGCACCATCCGCTCGATCTCCGCCACCGCCTGCGCGAAGCTCGTGGCCTGGAAGCCGGTGGTGCGGAAGGAGCGGAGCAGCGCCGCGTGGTCCGCGCCTCCCGAGAAGTCGTAGCCGCGCACCGGGAGAGCCTCGGCCGGGAGAGCCCCGCTGGGCCGCAGCACGGCCCGGAGCGCCTCTCCCGGCGCCTCTCCCGGTGCCTCTCCCGGTGCCGCCATGGCTCGGCCGGGCCCGCTCAGGGCGCCGCCATCTTGGGCCACGCCTGCCCCCCGTGCCGTACAGCCCCGCGCCGTACGGCAGCGCGCCGCCATCTTGGGCCACGCCTCCCCCCCGTGCCGTACAGCCCCGTGCCGTACGGCAGCGCGCCGCCATCTTGCTCAGCCCGCCCGTCTCGCCTTTGCCGTACAGCCGCGCGCTGCCATCTTAAAAGGACGGCGGCCGCGGAGGGACGAGAAGGTGGCGGATGCGAAAAGGCGCCGTTAACACCGAGGGAACCCCGAAATTTGGACAGTGCCGCGGGGGAAAGGAGCCAGAACCCTCAGAGGACAACAGGACCCGCTGCAAAAAGGTAGGGATGACATCTGTGGGCTAGAGAGCAACAGGAAGGGGTTTGGAGACTGAGCAGGCTTCCTTGAGTT